GGGGGAGGGGGAGGGGGAGGGGGAGGGAGAGGACCGCAAGGGGAAGGGAGTGAGAAACTTCTGACCCTGCAGTAGACACTGTTGCTCAATGCTGGGGACAATCAACTCCCTGCTCTGGCCCTCAGCTTCTGGAGCCTGCCGCCCTCTGCTCACAGACTCTAACTCCCGTCTTCAGGGGACTTCCTTCTGTCTGTCTGAGTCTCTTCTTGCAGGGACTCTGTGTCACTGGATTCAGAGCTCACTCAGATATTCATGATTTCATCTCAAGACCTTTTATTTCCATGTGATGATCCCTTTTCCAAATGGGCCACATTTACAGGTTCAGGTTGACACACTGGGGGTGGGGGGACACAGCAGCCACACACTAGCCTCCCAGGATTAGTTATATTCTAATTTCCAGCCAATCCTGCCGCAAGAAGTTCAAGGCTTAGATACAGCTTGGCGGCAGGGCTCTCGCAGGCATGCTCCAGACACTGAGTTTGTCTCCAGCACCATGCAAAGACAAGTCAGAAAATCAGATCTCACTTTCTTTTTTTTTTTTTTTTGGTTTTTCGAGACAGGGTTTCTCTGTGTAGCTTTGCGCCTTTTCCTGGAACTCACTTGGTAGCCCAGGCTGGCCTCGAACTCACAGAGATCCTCCTGCCTCTGCCTCCCGAGTGCTGGGATTAAAGGCGTGCGCCACCACCGCCCGGCTAGATCTCACTTTCTTAATGCAGTTTATTTCATGTATTATCTGACAGCTCTTTACAGACAGACCCCCTCTCTTAGGACTCCTTTTCCTGCTGTTCACTGTAAGGAAGGCAAACATGCAAAACAGGGCCATGTAAGCAGGAGGGCACGCTGGCCGCAGGAACACTGCTCTCAGGGATGAGCAGGTTCAGGTGCACTGCCCTGGGCAGACTTCAACCTCCCCATCCCCAGACTTCACTCTGCAAGTAGGCTTAAGCAGGCAGAGGACCTGCTGATATAACACATCTGACTGCTAGTCACTTCATTCAATGCTAATAATTGTCCTTATGTGAAAACTACCAAAGGAGGGTACTCTAGTATACTGCACCCACCCTTACATGACACCTTCCTTAAAGAATGACATCATAAAATGGGAATGTCTACAAATTCTCTGAATCACAACAGCAAAACATTCAGATATGGGGGGTGGGGGACTGATACAGTGTTTCAATGTCAATGTTGACAAAGTGCATTCTTAAATGACTTTAAAAAGGAGAACAGACATACACAGCTCTGCAGTGCAGCTCCCTCCAACACTAGCTGTTGTCCTGCTGTGCATGCAGAAAGGCAGCCTAGAGCCCAAGAAACTAGGGTCGTCTAAACCCAGAATGTCCCAAAACACCCAAGGAAGCCTGGCCCCCAGCGGGGCACTACAAGGAGGAGGTAGGAGGAGGGGACACCTAGAAATATGTTAGGTCACTGGGGTACTGAAAGGGAGCCGGGCCCCTTTCTCTCCCTCTCCATGAGCTGAGTTTTGGTGGCCATGTCTTCAGGACTATAATGCTTAGCTCCAACACAGGCCAGAACAGCAGAACCAGGAAAGTGACTGACTTCCCTGAGATTGTGGGCCCAAACCGACCTTTCCTCCCGACAAACTGCTCACCTCTGGTGTGGTCACAGCGACACAAAGCTGAGCACAAGAAAGGCCACTTCCTCCTATATTCGGAGTTTGGCTGTGGACGTGGCGCTCTGGGGTGAGGGTCATAAGCACAGACACGAGTTTCGAACCAGCTGTGAGTCTGTGCGGAGCGCACCAAGCAGTGACAGCCATACAGACCTCACCACGACAGAGAAGGCAAGCGCGTGCAGGCCAGCCCCCAGACCACAGTCCACACAGGCCCAACAGATGCTGAGCGGGAAGAGGGAAGAACGCTGCTGGACACACAGCTGCACAGCATCTGCCTCTTTACCCAAATGCGGCCTTCCCACTGCACCCTGCATCTGGGAACAAACCAAGGATGCTGAGAGATGGGGCAGGCGAGAACAACTCATACCTCCACCGGGAATAATTGCCAGCTTTGTTTCCACCAGGCCCATTTTTGCAGAGGAAGCTGAAAAGAAATAGAGAATTCAGTGACAGGCATGTCATCGCTTTGCAATGTGACGACTTGAAAAGCAAAGTAAGATTCTCTGAAATCACTGTTCACTGGTTAAATTAATGCCACAATTTAATTTTTTTTTTTTTTTTTGACAGGGTTTCTCTGTGTAGCTTTGGAGTCTGTCCTGGAACTCACTCTGTAGACCAGGCTGGCCTCAAACTCAGAGATCATCCGCCTGCCTCTCCCTCCAGAGTGCTGGGATTAAAGGAGTGTGCCACCACCTCCAAATTTTAAGAAATAACTTCATAAGTTTTTTTTTTCTTATGAAAACACATAATCATTCAAAATGACCCTCCACCCCCAACCCTATCCCCAGGTGAACACATGACATTTTCTGTTCAAAATTGCTTGGCAATCAGCTAGGTCCCAGTGGTCGAAGACCAGAGTGGAAATTTCATCTTTGGATCCAATGTTGCCAGCTCACGAAGGCCTGAATCCTGTTAATGATTCAGGAACAAGGAGAAACCGCCTGACAAGCACAGACTCCTTGTCTGCCTGGGCAGTCCCCAGACCAAACAACTCTATCTGCTGTCAGATAAGGTAAAGGCTCAAAACCAAGTCACTTTCTGACAAAATGATCCACAGCCTCACTGCACTGGGCTGGCTATCTCGCACAGCCTTGCTCCCAGAGTCTGCCACTTTCTGAATGGGCTGCATGTGCCTTGGCTTCTCAACTGAAAACCCACCTGACCCCAGTACCAGGAAAGAATCAGGTAAAGACCACCACAAGAAGGTGAGGACCCAGAATAACACGGGGAAAGGGAAAGCCCCCAACACGGCAACCTCACGCCCCAAGACGTGCGTGAGCACATGGGCCAGTACAAGGCAAACTAACTAAACAGCAGTGACGGCATGAAGCAGGGCCCAACTGTGCTGGCCTTCTGCTGCCCAGAACCACACTCAGGGCAGTGTCCACAGCTGCCAGGGGCAGGACAGAAGCCTGGGCTGTGACACCACGGCTGGGCTCAGATCCCAGCTCCCCGAATTCCTCCTCTCTGCTCCTGCTTCCTCCACAGCATCTCACAGGAGAGGGAGTGAACCATGCCAAGGGCCCCTGTTCAGCACCCAGCAAGTGGCTGGTACCAACTCTTTTCACAATCCTCTCTACACATGCTCCCAATCACCCCAAAAGAGGGAACTTCAAGGGAATGAAGTCGCTAAGTGCTGGACCAAACACGTCCACTAACTGAACTGCTCCATGGGTCAGATGCACAGAGCTACAGTCACAAGCTCTATTTGAAATGGAAGGAAATTAGTCTTTGAAAGAGAAGCCCTAGGGTCCCAAATCAGATGTCTGAACAAAGGATGGCTAAAGAGCTTCCTAAGTAGGACTTTTAAATGCTAGGCTCAAAAAAAAAGACAGCTTTCCTAAGTAGGAGTTGCAAACATCAGGCTCCACAGGCGATTTTTTAATGTGATACTGAACAGGAAGCAGAGCAAAAATATTTGGGCCTGAGGGGAATGCGCCCTTCACCACCGACACACTAACCCGTGTGTGCACGCACTAGGGGTCCAACCTAGGGCTTGTCCTCCCAGACCCCAGGCTTCTTCATTAGCATATTCATCGTACAAAACAACAGAATTCATTCTAAGACTCTCATAGTGCCCGTGATGTATTTGGATATTTGCTCCTCTTCAAGGCCCACACTTCAATTCCTCATCCCAAATCTCCTTTTCATGCCTTTGTTTTTGTCTAGATTCTACATTAAGAGAAAATGGAATGTCTTTCTAAGTCAGCCTTACTTCAACAAGCATGTGAATCTCCAAATTCATTGATTTTCATGCAAATAACATTGTTTTATAATTCTTTAACCCAAGCTCCTTTTAAAATTTATGTTAACGGTAAATTCTCACCTGCTACTCGAATATCACACGCTAAAGCCAGTTCCAGACCACCTCCTAGGGCCAGTCCATCTATGGCTGCGATCGTGGGCACGGGGAGGTTAGCTGAAACGACAGAGTTTATCCTTCACTCACAGCCACAGCTTTCCACACAGTTCATTCAGAACATATTCTTAAGCAGGTGTCATATGCAGACTTTATGCCTCTATAATCTTCAATAAAACACAAGCATTCACAATACTCTTTATAAATCTTTATGTAATGACTGTAGACAGTGCACCTATGAATGGGGAACACATCTGAACCTTTTCCTGAATTCCCTTCAAGATTATTGTATTGAATTCTATAACTTCATAATCTGAGAACATAATGTCTTTTACAAAGTGTTTAGTTCACACAAATTCAAGCTGGGATAGTTTATGCAGCATTTTGGAACTCCTGATCCTTTCTGGACTTGGTGCTCAGAATGCAATCTTGAGATATAGCATCTGCTCAAAGAAACACACAGTGCAAAAGGCCACAGAGGGTATAGGCCAGGTACCACCACCAAGGAAGGGTGGTACAAGGGCTGCATCCACAGTCCTCTCTGGCTCTGGGATCCTGACCAGAAGCAGACGTGGGAAGCAGCAGCATTCACAGAACCTACAAGGAGCATTTCTGGAAGCTTCTACAGTAGCAGGTTTCCACATTGGATTTTCAAAGGTACTGGTGTCATCCCTCCCCTATGCCCTACGCCACTTAACTCTTCCAGTTCCATTTTTTCCCCGTCCCCCTCCTACCACCTGTTTTCTATCCCACTTCCCTTGAAACCCCCAGCCAAAGCCTTTCCCCAGTGTACTGACGGCTGTGGGTTTTCTAATGTAAACACACATCTCAACAACCTTCCCCAGGACTGAATCTGTGAGCTCCAGTAACAACTGGCCTAGTAAGACATGCCCACCGTTACAATAGTGGCATGAATGTCATTTCAGTAAATGACCACTCCCTGATTGGATGAAGCTGCTCCACCAGGGAGACTGCATGCCAGGTACTGCTAACCAGGTCCAAAACTTATGGCTGGCTAGGTCATAGGCATAGGGAAGAAGCTAATATTGTTATTTTGCTAAATGGACATAATAACAAATTGCCCCTTGCATTCTTATCTTTATACCCAAAAGTGAGTACATCTCTCAGTACATCTTCATCAGAGGAGTTTCTTTTTGCAGTAGATGAAGATTAACAGAGAAACCCACAACTGGTCAATGTGTAGAGAGTAAGACTCAAAACAGAACATCTATATCATACCCCTAAAGCTCAGGAATCATTGTGAAAAAAGTGTCAGAAAGACTGTAAAAGCCAGGGGTCATGGACATCTGTAGCAAACATTTGCTGGACATAACAGGGCTACTGCACATATGAACTGCACAAGATCCTCCCAAAATCCCAGCACTGATAGGGGAAGAACTCATGAAGCCCCACCTCTACCACCTGACGGCTGCCGGGGGAGGGAGGGTCATTTCTTTTAGGGATATAGTCACTGAATAGCCACTGAAAGGCCTGTTCCAGCAGGGGGCCCTACCCATGCACATTTGGGTAGCACTAAGAGGGGGTGGGGGGACTGCACATAAAGTTGAGAGGGAAAGGGAGGGAAGGAGGGGAGGAGGGGAGGAGTTGGGAGAAAGGGGATGGGGGTGAATCTGATCATTATATGGTAGCTGGAGCAAGGACTCAGCAGTTAAGAGCACCCACTGTTCTTCCTGAGGACCTGAGTTTGAGTCCCAGCACCCTCATTGGGTGCCTTCCAACCACCTACTTCATTTGCAAGAGCTGGAGGTGACCTTGAGAACTGCCCAGTGAACCTGCCCTTGTCATCACGGTTTCCTTTTTTCAGGTTAATTCATTAGGTACACTTGTACTACTGACACATTCCTTGCCGAAGACAGTGACAGGTCTGTCTGATATTCCCCACAAAGTGTACGCAAAGTCTGAATCTGTCCTGTCCTTGAAGGACAAACCTCCCCTCACTCAGCTCTCGTACACAGGAAGCATGGCCTGTGTGACAAGCCTTCCTCCCAGGCCCTTTCAGACTGACAGCAGAGCAAGTGTGGCCGATAACACCTTCAAGAGCTGTGTAGACTTTAGAAGAGGCCAAGACATGAGCCTGTGTTGGGGAGTAGGGGGTGACAAAGGGGCCTTTACAAGTCCATTGTGTTTGGTGGGAAGGAGCCAGGCTTACTTCTCCCAGTCTGCAGAAAACATTCTTTCATACAGTTTCTAGGAAGGAATCATTTTTTGCAAGAAACTAACAATGAAATCTGTCCTACTATAATTTATAAACCTTTCACTAGTGAACACTTTCTTTTCTTTCTCTTTTTTAGCAGAGACATTTGTACACGCATATAATGTTTTTTGCCTTGATGTTTATTATGGGTGTGTAGGTATGGGCACATGAGCACAGCTGCCTGCAGAGGCCAGAGGCGGCTGAGCCCCCTGGAGCTGGAGTTACAGGTGATGTGGTGCTGAGCCTGATCTCAGGCTAAGGAAACCTGTCTGCACAGCCGGACGGTCTTACACAGTAACAGATAGATCTGACATGCCGATGCTTAGTGAGTACAGCCCCAATCATACAATGTAAGACATGGTGTAACAGGCTGATTATATCAGCCAGACACAGTGAGTCTGACCTGGAGTCTGGCTTGGAGGCAGAGTGAAGAGGCTGGCCCCTGACCAGGACCTGAAGTCAGGTGGTAAAAGTATTAACACTTTCCTATTATGATCATGCATTGTAGAATCAATACAAAATATTTTTAAATCTGACATTTAAAATTTGAGAAATAAATTTTCCAAAGGGAATACAACAAATTTAACATTGTAACTTTTAAGAAATACGGAACACAGAATGACAACAAATTGGAATCCAAAAAGAACATGGAAAAGAGTAACTGTGCTCACATCACTTGTGAAACTTTCAAACAGTAACATAAATTGGTGTGGTAGAAGGCTGGCTATAAAATGTTTCCTACTAAAAAATTATTTAATTAGAACAGCTTAATCCATTCAATACTTTACAATACTATAAAGTTTAAAGCTATACACCCTGAAAGGCAGACTATCAGCACAGAGGCCTGAGGGAATACCAAAGGGCAGCTGTGCATGCCTACAAAGGACTTGAGGCAGGAAATGAAATGCCAGGGCCACAGCTCCAGCGAGAAACCATGACTCAGTGAGTTACGCAACAGTGGGATCAGATACTATTTTGAGTTTCATTCCAGGAAGTGAGCCAGGTATGACAAGGAAGATAATAATCCTTTGAAATGCGCCTAAAAATATAATTAAGGCAATAATTAAAGAGTTGATCTATTTTGAGAAGGGAAAGCATGGCAGGCCTCCGGTGCACCTCAGAGCCCGCAGCACATCCCGGCCCAGTGGGGCTGGAGTGAGCACAGGACTGGAGCTGGGGTGTCTACTCTCTGCTCCTCAGGCAAAGCTTAATTGAAGCCTCTAGAAAAACAAACGATCCGATTATAAGGGGAAGGTCAGGGTTGGCTATGTGACTTTCAAATGTGGTTCTGCCGAAGGACTAGTATTCTGGTGTCAGCAAGATGGCTCACTGGCTCAGCATTTGTGACCAGCACTGATAATCGAAGGTCCACTCCCAGGACCCATGTGGTAGAAGCAGAGAACACATACCCTGACTTTGACCCAAATAAATAATAAAATGTAATTTTAAACACCTAGAAATCTAGCACTGCTATACAAAACAAAAAAGTCATTACTTTAACAGAAAGGTCCATATACAGTATGATGAAAAGTCTGAATGCCAAAGTCAAGAATAGAAATAAAATCTCTATTAACAAAATCACAATAAATTCCTAATTATTCCTAGATCCAGTTAAAACTTAAATTTTGACTTAAGGTGCTTTCTCCTTTCTCTCTCAATTCTGAAGAAACCACAAGAACAGAACGAAGTGGTTCCTGAGCAACGCTGATGGGCTGGGTTGGCTCTGCTGGGAGGCCAGCAGGCTGGACTGGGCTGGAGGCTGGTCCAGAACTTCCGCACAGGGTGCTACTGGATGCCAGCAGGCACCAAAGAGTGGGAGATGCCAGATCCAAGACTGGAAATCTCAGCCACCTTAGCCCTGAAGACACAGGCAAACTCCTATGACACCTAAACACTAACCCTAGGTTAAAATCCAAATAAAGAGAGCTCTGGAAGGCTGTGGGAGAAGGACATCAGCAGTGTTCCTCATGGGGGAGTCTATCTAGTAACGGCCACCTCCTGGGCCCAGCTCTCCCTCCACACATCCCAGTTTCCAGGCTGTATCTATACATGAAAATGAGAGAGTAAACTGATGTTTCAGCCAGGAAAGGTGGAAGGAAAACCCTTGTAACAATGTGACAAAATAAGCCAAAGGACAAAAAGAAAGAGACTGATGCCACTGCAGGATGAAAGGGAAGGATGGGCAGGCACAGGGAGTCCTGGCCACGCGTGGGACCACAGCATAGGACAAACCAGAAGAGTACCTAAGACAGGCATACGTATTTTCAGAAAGTAAAGTCACGAGGCTGGAGAGATGCTTGGCAGTCAAGAGCACACACACTGCTCTTGCATAGCACCCCAGGTCAGTCCCCAGAACTCACACTGGGTAGATCTCAACTGCCTGCAACTCCAGCTCCAGGGACTCAGGGTACCTACACTGGCATACACACACACACACACACACACACACACACACACACACACACACACACACACACACACAATTTTAAAATAAAAATAGGTCTTTAAAAACATAGTCACCAAACCCAGAAAGTATAGACAGGACACAGAGAAACCTGAGCCAGAGCAGAGGACGGACTCAGATGCAGCAGGAGGAGACAGGGCAGGGATAACACATGCATGGTACTGCAACCAAGCCCTGAGGAAAACCGCCAGAACCTTAACAAGGCAGTGTGGACCAAGCAAAGATCCCTTGTGTACAGATAAGTGTTTTGTGTAAGAGTCAAAGAAAGATCTAAAGATGCGTACAATAAATCAGCACATCCGCGATGACCACACCCATGCAGGAAATGATGGCAGCTACTGAAAAACTACCAAAGTCTACAGTCAACACAGCCTCGGGTGT